TTACGGCGTGTGTGTGTGTGTGTGTGTGTATGTGTGTGTGTGTGTGTATGTGTGTGTGTGTGTGTACGTGGGTATGTGCCTGGTGGGCTGGTGGTGGGTCATGGGCTGCTACGTCGTCGCCTCGATATGGGGCGGGTGATTGTGGGGCGGGTGTGATCGTGGGGCGGGGCGGGTGATCGTGGGGTGGGTGATCGCACGCGTGTGTGTGTGGTGTGTGTGTGTGGGTTGGGGGGGGGGGGGGGGGCACAGAACCGCAACGAGTTCGAGTACTGGGTCACCGAACACCTCCGCATGTCGGGCGTGTACTGGGCCGTGGCTGGCCTGGCCGGCCTCGATGCGCTGGACCAGCTGCCGTCGGCGCCACTGCTGGAGTTTGTGGACAAGTGCTATGATGCTCAAATCGGCGGGTACGCGGGCAACGTCGGCCACGACGTGCATCTGTTGTACACGCTGTCGGCGGTACAGATTGCAGCCATTTACGACGAGCTGGACCGCATCGACGCCGACGCCGTCGCCGCGTACGTGGCCAGTCTGCAGCAGGCCGACGGCTCGTTTGTGGGCGACAAGTGGGGTGAGGTGGACACCCGGTTCTCGTACTGCGCGCTCTGCACACTCGCCCTCCTGGGGCGACTGGACGCCATCGACGTCGACGCTGCTGTTGCGTTTGTGGCCTCGTGCAGGAACTTTGACGGCGGCTTTGGCGCCGTCCCGGGCGCCGAGTCGCACGCCGGCCAAGTCTTTTGCTGCGTCGCCGCCCTCGCCATCGGCGGCGGCATGGCGCACGTCGATCAGGACTTGCTGGGTTGGTGGCTCGCCGAGCGCCAGGTGCCCATCGGCGGCCTTAATGGCCGCCCCGAAAAGCTGCCCGACGTCTGCTACTCGTGGTGGATCCTCTCCGCCACCTCGATCCTCGACCGTACCCACTGGATGGATGCTGGCAAGCTCCGCGACTACATCCTCTCCTGCCAGGACTGGGAGACCGGTGGCATTGCCGACCGTCCCGGCGACTGGGTCGACGTCTTCCACACCTTTTTCGGTATCGCAGGCCTCGCCCTCCTCGGCTGCGGCGGCCTCACCCTCATCGACCCGGTCTACGCCCTGCCCGAGGCGGTCGTTCTCCGCCTCGGCCTCCCTCGCCTCTTCTCCGTCCCGCCGCCTCTCGCCATCAACATCGAGTAAAACCGCTGCGCAGCCAGCAACCACCGCCGAACGTCGCCGTCTACCCCCCCTCTTCCACCCACCTGACGCCGCCCTCACCATGCCCACCCCGTCATCCCCACCCCCACCCATGCCCCCGACCACACCACATACGCCCCGTACGCCTCGAAGCTTCAGGTCGCCACGCACCCCACGGACACGGTCGCCACGCACCCCGCGCGGTTGGCCGAGCCGCAGCAACCGACAGGCTGGCGGTGCGGGACGGAGCTTTGCCGCGCTCTGCGGGGGGCCCGGAGCCAGCGGAGGCGCCGCTGGGAACAGTGGAATGGGAAGCAGCGGGAATGGCGGCCTCGCTGGCGGAGCAGGCCGAGCCGCGAGCGGATCGCCAGCTGGTGGGCGGCGCTGGCGCCGGCCGCAGTCATCTCCGCTGAGAAGCGGGAGCGCAAGCAGGCGCGGCGAGCGGGGGGCATCGGCCGGCCGGCGACGAGCGGTCCGAGCCGGTGATGGCGATGAAGGCCCTACTGGCGATGGCGGTGCTGGCTCTAGCAGCGGATGGCAGATGCGTGAGGCAGACATCGACGCGGCGCTGGCGTTCTGGGGCGTGGGCGCGAGCAGGGCCGAGAACTACGCCAACGTGTACGGGCACGAGTATGTGAGCGACAAGGCCGTCGAGGCAGATCTGATGGAGAACGGGCTCTTTCCGGGCGGACCGCTGCTGAACAAGCTCAAGCTGTTTTACCCGGACGCAACAGTCGCCGATCTGGCGCCGCTGGTGATGGAGGCCAAGGCTGTCAAGGCGCTGCTGGTCTCGCCTGAGGCGCAGGCGCTGATTGACACGAATGGGTTTGATCCTGTGGCTGAAGCTTTTGACCTGCTGCTAGGCAACGAAGTGGCGTCAGCCATCACGCCGGGGCGGCTGCGGGTGATCCTGGGCGAGGTCTACGGCGCCGAGCTCGGCCCGATCACCGACGACGACCTGCGTATTGCGATGAAGGTGTCTGACGCCAACCGCGACGGGGTGCTCGATGTGGGTGACATGCGGAACATGCTCTCGCAGGCGCTCAAGGTACTTTCTGTATTCGAGGTTGTGGGCCCGTCCTAGGGCGCGTCGCCGGTGTAGGCGTCGGTGACGCGGATGAGCTCGTCGTAGTAAGAGACAGCCTCGCGGAGGCCGTCGATGGAGATGCGCTCGTTGACGCCGTGGATGCGCGGCAGGTCGAGGGCGGTGACGCGGAGCGGCATGAAGCGGAAGATGTTGGGCGAGAGGCCGTGGTACCACTTGGTGTCGGTCGATGCCATGAGCAGGCCCGGCGCGACGGCGGCGTCCGGAAAGACGGAGCGGGCAGCGCGGGCGAGGAGGCTGTACGCGTCAGACTCGGGGTCGGAGACCGGCGACGGCTCGGTCGAGGGATCCTCGGCCCAGATGCGGACGCGGTCGTCGTTGATGAGTTCGGCGTCGTGGGCGAGGACCGAGGCGACCGAGTCGGCGAGCGCGATGCGGTGGTTGACGACGGCGTGCGCCGATGGCGCCACCACGTTGGCCTTGACACCGCCGTCGACTATGTTGACCGAGGTGGTCGTCCGCAGCTGCGCCGCCGTCGCCGGCGAGTTGCGCAAGAGGATGGCCTCGAGGATCCAGTCGGTAAACGCGAGGTTGCACGCGAGGAGGCGGAGGCCGAACGGCATTTCAGGGCAGAGGGTGTCGAACATGGCGCGCGAGACCGAGGTGAGCTTGCCGGGGAACGGCGACGAGTCGAGGGCGACGATGGCCTTCGAAAGGACGCCGATGGCGTTGGATCCAGGCCGCGGCATCGACGCATGCCCGCCCTCGAGATCAATCTGCATGTGGACGTTGACAAAGCCCTTTTCAGCGATGCCAATGAGTGCGGCGACCGGAACGCCCGGAATGAGCCCGTGCGCAACAGCAAGACCCTCGTCCGAGACGTAAAGCATCGAGGCGTGGCCGGCATCATCCAGCTCGCGACGCAGCTCCTTGGCGATGGTCGCCGCTCCGCGTGTGCCCGACACCTCCTCGTCCGCGCCGTAGGCGAGGTACATCGTCCGCTGCGGCACAAAGCCCTCGGCAAGCAGCGCCTCGACGGCCTCGAGCTGCCCAATCACGTTCACCTTGTTGTCCATGGTTCCGCGGCCGTAGACAAACCCGTCCTGGGTCACAGCGCCGAAAACGGCGGCTGCGACCACTCCTCCGGCTCGTCCGCAGGCACGACGTCGAGATGCGCAGCGAGCACGTACGGCGCGAGCTTGGCATCCGAGCCGCGCCACACAAAGACGACCGAGCCCGAGTCCCCGATCTCCCACCGCTCGAGCGCTTCGTGGACGCGCGGAAAGGTTGTCCGCAGATAAGCGTGCATAGCGTCGAGCGAACTCTTTTCCGGCACCTCGCCGACCTTGCGCGAGACCGTAGGGAACGTCACCAGATGCGCCATGTGCTCCGCCAGGCGATCTGCGTCCCACGACGACGGCGGTCGGCGCGGCGCCGTGTACTCTGTCCCACATCACACATCGATTGCGCCGGCATCGTTCCAGCCCCAGTCGTACCCAGTCGCAGTCATTCCATGTCCGTCATGTCTGTCACCATGAGTCACCGCCGCCCCTCCACGTACCCCCCCCCCCCCTGCGCCACGCGGGCGAGTCGCCGATACGAGATTGGGCTTCTACTTCCATGGGCGCCCCGGCTTCC